CTTTAAAGCTTTGTCTCGGCTACAGAGTAGCTGGGACTGGAGCTGTACCGGTTGTGAACGGTCAGAATAAAAAGCCACTGTTGGACATGGTGTTTATTCTCAGCAATGTGTCATCTAAAATAATGAGCTTTGTTTTCAAATGGAGAAAGGAGCAATTCACTTGTTATTATAAAATGACAATTTTATAAGGGGGCTAGTTTGACTCCTGACACCACCAAGGCTAACCTCTGTTACACTGTCCATTGACTGTACCTGGGTGCCCAGTGCTCCATTTTCCCCATCTCCAGTTGAGATGGGGGGAAGTATATTCTAGCAGCCCTGGCAGGTACGTGGCACAATCTGTTTTATTGCAGAATGACTAGGCAAGGCTTAGAATGAGGGATGCAAAATAAAATTGTGTGTTTTCACAATTATTTATGCTTTAAATAATTTGTAGTCCCTTATAGGGAAGGCCTTCTGTGAAAAGACTGGATCGACTTGGTCTACACTATAGCGGAGAATGTGTATTCAGAAATACGATCCAGATTCAACCTTGGTTGCATCGTCAGAATCTTAGGAGGATAAATACAGGCTAGGTGGGAGATTCTGTGAGGGTTTCTTTGGTTTGGCAGGACTCTCTGGGGTGTGTGGCTGGGAAGTGGGAAGTGGGAGGAGAAGGAAATTGGGAGCCTTGCTGCTTTGGGGAGCGTCTATGAAGGGTTACTTTAACCTGTGGCGTAGCCACTAGCCAGAGGGGGCTGGTCCCAACTGAAACGTGCTGTAAGCGTAAAAGCCACACTGGGTTTCAAAGACTTAGTAAGAAATGTAAGAAAATGTAAAACATCCCATGAATGGTTTGATTCGTTGCACGTTGAAACCGAGTGTGAAATGATGGTATCTGGGGCATCTTGGATTAAAATCATTAAAATTGATTTCACCTATCCCTTACTTTTTGAATGGGGTTGAGATTTTAAAATTACATATGTGGCTTGTATTTCTAGTGGGCAGTGCTGTTTAATACCTATTATGTATGGTGGGATTATGGCTCATGTTTACTTATGTTCTATTTTTCAAATTGACAATGTGAGAGACAATACTGTCTTGGAGAAAAATATATATATATATAGCTTGTGGATTTTGGAGTCCAGCAAGCATGTGTCTTGGCTATAGCTAGCCCTTGGGTAACTAACCTCTGAGCCTCAACTTCCTCATCTAGAAAATTAAGGTAACAGTTTGGATCTCATAATAACAGTCTTGATCTCAGCAGGTTGTTGTGAGAAATGCATGGGAAATTAGCAGAGAGCGCTTATCACTGAACTAACATAGGGAAAACGCAATAAGCAATCGGCATGGTGCTTTCTTACATCTCAGGACCTGTCCGGTGCCTCATCTTTTAATCCCTGACCATTTCAACTCAGTTCCTTGTTTCGCTTCTTCCCCAAATTTGTATTTTCTTTCATGTCTATCTGTTTACTTCTACACCCAAGAAGGCTAACCTTTCCCTTCTTTTTCTCATCATTGAAAAAATCTCTCGTCTGGTTCCGCATCTTCTTACTTGTTCAGACTAAGGTACCTCCTACTTATTTACTGCAACTGTTCAGAGCAAGAATTCGATCCTGGCTAAAACTATAAACCAGCCACAATCCTTCATCTGCCCGTGTCTGGACCGCGGATGCTGGGTCTTGCCTTTTATGGAACTCTGCTTCCTTTTGATGGGATGGTCGATCAAAGAACGATCGACTCCAGGCAGAGGGGGTGTAGGTAATGGGAGAATAAGGGTCCTGTAAACAAGAGATCAAGAGCACGGGACAGGAGAAGAAAAATCGTGTAACTTCTCTTTTGCCCCACACTGCTGCCTTTTCTTTCTGTTGGCTTCAGAAGCTGCGCTATGTTCAACCAGGGTAAGTACAAGGTGGTTCTCGTTGCCTTTCTAGATTCTTGCACCTGCAAGCACAACCTCCCACAGTGAGCATGGCACACAGCTAAAACCCTGTGCTCAGTTTCCACATTCTAAGAAATAAGTTCTTAGATGAAGATGGTTGGTACTTGTTCTCTGAAATTCAGTGGCAAGGAAGAGAAAAAGATAGAAAACTTTGTGACGATATGTTGTTTCGCGAGGTGAGTTACCTGAGTCCTTCACAATTAACAAGATGAACCTTTCAGCCAGAGCTACATGAGATAAGAAACAAGGAGAAATAACTTAAGAACACACCCGTGCCTCTTCGAGTCCCCGATTTTCCTATGCAGGTTTTTGGGTTTTTTTTGGTAATCAATCAGAACAACGTTGATTTTTGTTCCCATCTAGCAGCTGAAACGAGGTGCTTCAAGGTGATTTTTTTTTTTGCCTTTCATCAGATCAATATGTTACTTTGCCTGTTTTATTTTTAGATTTACTGAGTGTAGCAAAGGAAAGAAATAAGCAAATTGGTTTGTATTTCAAGTGTGGGCTGAGGTTTGACCCGATAAACCTGTCAAACCTGTTTGGAAATTTAACAGGGGAGAGCAGGTTTCACGGGTCATCTTTGCTGACAGCTGGGATTTTTGGAGGGTTTGTTGTTGGGAGAACTGGGTGATTTCAGTGCCAGAGAACATAACTAGGGCCCCTCTGCCACCCCAGGCAAGGGGGGGATGCTTAGGCGAGGGTGTGCCGGTGGGCCAACCCTGGATGGATAAACATGGCTGTTTTTCCTGGAGCATTTATTAATGAAATATTTACCATTGATCAGAGGCAAGAAGGGGTCGTTGCCAACAATCACTTACCTGTGGCTTCCTAGAGAATCAGAGGGTTTGAAAATGTGAATCAGTTTTTCTTCTTAATATATTATGTAAATTTAGGAGAGGGAGGAAGAATTTCTGAAAATCCAAAACACAGCTCTAAGCTCTAAGATATCACCTCTCCACGTAGAAACTTACATTCTGGTGTCTTGGGTCCCCAAGAAGAAGACAGCAAAGGCTCTAAGTTATCACCTCTCCACATAGAAACTTACATTCTGGTGTCTTGGGTCCCCAAGAGAAGACAGCAAAGGCTCTGCAGATGCCTGCTTTTCCTTTTCTTATTTACTTTTTTTGGTCACTGTGGATAAATACTCGTGACATTTGTGATATCAGTTGTCTGCGGTGTATATAGCATCTTTTTCTCTGTCAGAGGTTGTAGAAAGAGCAATGATTGCGTGATTCAGAATGCAAATATGTGGGCGTTCAGACATCTGTCCGTGCAGTCAACTTTTGATCCTCTGGGGGACCACTAAGGGGTGTCTTTTTAGAGCCTGATCTTTTCGGGGCTGCTGACGGTACAGCTTAGTGACACAAAGGCAGTGAGCTAGTGAGGTACTCGCTGAACTCGAAGTTTTATATTTTCCATGGTTTTTGGATTAATTATCTTTTTTCCCCCCATGAGGCTCAAATATATGCCACATCTAAAAACACCTGTAAAGAAACAGAAGTGCTGCTGCAGATACAGCGTTGTAATTACAGGTGTGCACGCCTACTAAATACATGTCCAAAACACACGCTCAGTGACAGGCTACTGATTTTGCCTCCCCTGAAATTGAATGCAAAATTAGTGTCACTAAATATACTTCTTTGTTACCGAAGGGCTGCCACTGCCCTCGGTCTTCAAAATTAATCATTGGGTTGCCTCTAGACAAACACTCTTTAAAGTACAAATATTGTTTCATCTGATGTGGCTATACTGTATCCATGTATTCCTTAAAGGCCAAAACCAGACTTATGGACTACATCAAATGCTTTCTGGATACACAGACAACAAAAACAACATTTTTTTAAATTAACAGGCATCAACAGGTATAAATAAATTGTCTAAAGCATTTAATGGTCTTTAACACAGTCAACGCCCCTGGCCTTGAAACAGTGTTTGTTAAATTCTTTTTTTTGCTAGTGGCAAAAAAAGCCATCAAGCAAGCCCAACTTGAAAATTGGGTACCATTTCCTGGCCAGTAAGCACAGAACTGAGGGGCTCAATATCTTATGGGTATCTTTTTTGTTGCTGGGCTTATGATTTTTTTTTTCCTCTCTCTGTCTCTCCCCTCTCCCACCTGCTCAGGGCTGATCGTTGTGACGTTGGCCGTCTGCTGGATGCCCAACCAGGTTCGGAGGATCATGGCTGCGGCCAAACCCAAGCACGACTGGACCAAGTCCTACTTCCAGGCGTATATGATCCTTCTTCCCTTCTCGGACACCTTCTTTTACCTGAGCTCGGTCGTCAACCCGCTGTTGTACAACGTGTCCTCGCAGCAGTTCCGCAGCGTGTTCGGGCAGGTGCTGCGCTGCAGGCTGACGCTGCCACACGCCAACCAGGAGAAGCGCCTGCGCGCCCACGTGGCCTCCGCCGTGGATGGCGCCCGCTCAGCGCGCCGCCCGCTCATCTTCCTGGCTTCCCGGCCCAATTCCTCTGCAAGGAGAACTAACAAGGTTTTCCTAAGCACTTTTCAGAGCGAGGCCAAGCCCGAACCTAAGCCTCAGCAGTTCAGTTGCGAGTCACCGGATCCCAACTCAGAGGTGAAACCTGCCAACCCTGCCACCGAAAATGGCTTCCAGGAGCAGGAAGTGTGACTGTCTGTCAAGGAAGGAAGGGAAGCTGGAGCGCCAACGGGCCCTCCCCACACGAAAGCGACGGTTACCTGCATGCAGCGGTGCCAAAACAAACTGTGCGCCCATCATCAGGGACAGGGGTGGAAGACGGGCCTGGGAAAAAAGCAGATGGCCGCTTACAAGTGTCACTTAAGGGCGAATGCTGCTGCCAACCTGGCCTCAACTCTGAGAGTTGGCCCACCTGTATCCATTCCTCCTTCCATTAAGGACACACTGAAAATTCAGTCAAACTGAATGCGTCCAGAGCTCACAAAGTTTTGTTTTTACACTGAGCTCTTCCATTGTTTGCAAAGGAACTGAAAGAGAGAGAACACGGATTCCCCTCGCCACCCAGCATCAAAGGACAGACACCCAGAAAAATCTCAGGGGGCTGGGGGAAGGTGGGCCTGAAGAGTGATGCAGGAGGGGGCTGGTATCTCCTTCAGCTTCAGCAGTGTGCCAAGAAACGGCCGAATGTGAGGAGCACGAGGGTGCCGGGGAGCCCCGGCCGAAGGGCAGGGGCAGAGCCGCTCCTTTTCTTGGGCCGGGGCCCGTTGCAAAGAGGGGTGTTACAGCAGCTGATGCACACGGAATTCACTCTCCCCGGGGAGCAGAAGGATTGGTACCCAGCCGAGGCGATGAGGCAGGCGGCCGACGACGCGCACGACTTGCGGTACATGATTCCTGCAACAGACCCAAAGGAGCCAGACTTAGCGGCCTGCACTGGCTAGAAGACGGCAACCCTGAGCCCAGATCCCCACGGAGAGCACTCTTCTTCCTTCTCCTACAGCCCAGAAACTTGGTGTGGCCAGGGCACTGCTCCAGGGTGTTTCGTTGAGCCCCCCCACCAAAATACAGGACAGGTGCAGTGAAGGCAGTGGGCATCATTTCCCTTGCTTCTGAGATGCCAGTACCAGTGAATAAAGTTCATTTTTCTTTAAACTGTGGACTAGACAGAACTTCTTTTTATTTACTTTCTTTGGTTCACACTGTCTCATGCCAGAGAGGATGACAGGCTGCACTTCAAGATCTTGTCCCTGTTTGTTTGTTAGTACTTTATAAGCGACCACAGAGAGATGGTTCTCAACGATGTGTTTTTGAAATCCTGGAATTCTCTCAATAAAAACCAAACTCCAAAGAGAATAAATCAGTCAATCAGATCACTACCAAAGAGGCCCTGTGTGGGTTCAGTGAAGGGAGGGGGAGCCTGGCTGACAGTGTGCCGAGCACCGCCTTGTTGCAAGGGAAGTTTTGCCCTTAGAACATATGGCCATTTGCCAAGTCAGCACCACACAGCCAGCCCTTATTAACACATACTGTGTGGACACATCAAGGGTCTTCCCACTAAGACTGGAGGGCCCTTCTTAAGGAGCTCGTGTGTCAGGTCCAAACTGCAGCATAATCATCAAATTAGGGGTGTCTTGGGTAATCATTTGACTTTATAAAGCTGGAAGTTTACTCAAGTAATAGCTAAGCTTATTAAATACTTTGCTGAATGCCAGGCACTCTTCAGATGGCTCCTAGCTCATTTACTGCCTGCAACAACCCTACAAGAGAGGGCCCCAAGATCATCCCCGTTTTGCAGATGGGGATCCTAAGGGCAAGAGAGATTTAGTAACTTGCCCAAAGTCACACTTCTAGAAAGTAGAGCACCTGTGATTTGAACCAAGTATTCTGGTCCCATGCTGTCAAATCTGTAGTACAATATAGCAAAGCAGCCAGCCAAGTTAACCACAAAATGGTTTTGTTTTTTGCAGGGGGGAAGACTACTTTGAAAACAGCTTTTGGTGTGTGTGTGTGTGTGTGTGTGTGCGAGAGAGAGAGAGAGAGAGGCCGTTTTGTATCAATGAACTACTATTCTTTTTGGACACACAACATCATACTAAAGCCGAACCTCAAAGTGATGCCTTTAGCCCATGTGCCGCCCTGCGTGTCTGAGGGATACAACACATTCCACCAGTAGCCAGGGCTCCCTCCCCTCTGACTCCCTGCAGGCGTGTGTTTGCAAGCACTGCTTCCATCTGGGCCCGCATCCTCTCCCTTGAGAATTGCTACTTGAAGTGCCTAAAACTCCCAAGTGGGAGGTAAATAAATACTTTAGATTTATATGAAACATGCAATTTTAACTCTGTTAGAAAAACCTGGAAGGCAGCTGGTCTGGTAAAATAAATCTCACGGACAGAGGGTGTGTAGGGGGACCAAGGAGCACTGTTTAATTTCTAAGGAACATGCTACAGAGTTCCCAGAGTCTCTACATTTTCTAACCATTGCCCATTTTAGAAAATTAAGTTTCACTGTCTTTTATTCTTAACTATTAAAAGCCACTAAACTGTCAGTTGTCAGTTCAACTTAGGTAAACTTTTTTCCTTTAAATAAATTTTAAAAATTAAAAAATATGTACTGAATACATCTTTTACTGTAAAAATGTTCAGACAGATAAGAAAATGCTCCTTGACCGCTCTCCTTCCAATGCTACCTCCTCCTCAGAGGTAAGCACTCTTATCAATTTGGGATGCCTCCTTCCAGGCCTATTTCTATGCATTTACAGATGTGTCCATGGAGAAGAGGTCTGCGCATATGTCCTAATAGCATAATATAACATCCTATATGCTGTATATATGTATATCCTATTTGCATTTTCACTTAGTGACATGGCTGGGGATATATTTTTAAGTCTAACTTTGTAGGACTAAGAGTCAGTGATGAGGTAAGTTAGTTAGATAAATAACACAAGATGGGTGCCCCAATTTTGTGACTGCTGCCCAGGGGACATCTCCAGATCACCTGGCTCTGATGGCCAGTGGGGCCTACGCTTGTAGTCCTGCAGGACTGCATATATTTGCATCTTTAAAAGTTTCTGCCAGAGGGTCTGCCTTCCAATCAGCCCGAATCTAGGTGCTGAGATCCTCTTCTTTGGGACACTAACTGATCTCAGCACACACTCAACTACTGGAACCTATTAGAAATAAAATAGGCTGCTTAGACAATTGGAAAGGTTGAAGAGATAACCAAAAGCTGGGGTATGGTTGAATGACAAGGTACATCTACGCTAGGCCAGCCCTTCAAGACGGGGAGAGGTGGCTGTTTCACCTAAATGCACAGAAACCAAAACAAATCATCAAAAGGGAGAAAAAGATGAATATGGTCCAAACAAATAAGATAAAACTTGAGAAGAAAATTTTAATGAAACATAAGTAATTTACAAGAAAAAGAATTCAAAGTAGTAGTCTTAAACATGTTCACTGAACTTGGGAGAAGAATGGATGAACACAGTGAGAACTTCAACAAAGAGAGAGAAAATATAAGAAAGAACCAAACAGAAGTCCCAGAGCTAAAGTGTACAATTATTGAACTAGAAATGCACTAGAGGGGTTCAAGAGCAGACTAGATGAAGCAGAAGAAAGGATCAATGAACTCAAAGACAGGGCAGAGGAACTGACCCAATCAAAGAGCAAAGAAAACAAAAAGGAATGGAAAAAAAAAAAAGGAAGATAGCTTAAGGGACTCATGAAACAACATCAAGTGCATTAATATTCACATTATAGGAGTCACAGAGGGAGAAGAACAAAAGGGGTAGAAAACTTATTTGAAGAAATAACGGCTGAAAACCTCCCTAACGTGGGGAAGGAAACAGACATCCAGTTTCAGGAAGCCCAGAGAGTTCCAAACAAGGGGAACCAAAAGAAACATACATCAAGACACATAATAATTAAAATGTGAAACTATAAGACAAGGAGAGAATATTAATGGTAATAGAGGAGCAACCTGTTACTTCAAAGGGAACTCCCATAAAATGAGCAGCAGATTTTTGCAGGCCAGAAAAACTGCAGGCCAGAAGGGAGTTGCACAATATACAGGCATACCTCATCTTACTGCTTTTTGTTTTATTGTCCTTCACAGATACTATGTTTATTACACACTGAAGGTTTGTGGCAACCTGAGTTTAGAAAGTCTATCAGCACCATTTTTCCAAAAGCATTTGCCCACTTCATGTCTCTGTCATGTTTTGGTAATTCTCACAATATTTCAAACTTTTTCATTATTATATTTCTCACGGTGATGTGTGATCAGTGATAATTGATGCTACGATTCTAATCGTTTTTGCTTTGTATTTTTTACTTGAGATATGTACATTTTAAAAAGACATAATGCTATCTGCACACAATAAATTACAGTATAAACATAACTTTTATATGCATGGGGAAACCAAGAAACTTGTATGACTTGCTTTGTTGCAATATTTCCTTTATTGTGGTTTTCTGGAACCAAACCCCAGTATCTCTGAGGTATGCCTGTATTCAAAGTGCTGAAAGAAAAAACAAAAAACTTCCAAACAAGAATATTCTATCCAGCAAAGTTATAATTCAGAATTAAAGGAGATACAAAGTTTTCCAGACAAGCCAAAGCTAAAGGAGTTCATCACCACTAAACTGACCTTATAAGAAATGTTAAAGCAGCTCATTTAAGTTGAAAAGAAAAGGTGTTAATTAGTAACAAACATATGAAAGTATAAATCTCACGAGTAAAGGTAAATATATAGTAAGTATAGTGGATCAATCACTTATAAAGCTTGTACAAAGCTTAAAAGACAAAAGTAGCAGAAACAACTACCATAATTAGTTAAGGGATACACAAGATGAAAGTAGAATAGGAGTGGACACAAGATAGCAGAGAAGAAGGACATGAGCTCACCTCTTCTTACAAAAACACCGAAATCACAACTAACTGCTGAACCACCATTGACAGAAAAATGCTGGAACCTACCAACAGATATCCTATGCCCAAAGACAAAGAAGAAGGCCACAACGAGATGGTAGGAGGAGCACAACTGCAATAAAAGCAAATCCCACACCCGCCGGGTGGGGGACCCACAAACTAGGAAATAATTATATCGCAAAAGTTCTCCCACAGGACTGAAAGTTCTGACCCCAAGTCATGCTTCCCAGCCTGGCGGTCTGGCAATGGAATGAGGATCCCCCAGAGAATCTGGCTTTGAAGGCCAGTGGGATCTTATTGCAGGAATTCCACAGTACTAGGGGAAACAGAAACTCCACGCTCGGAGGGCACACACAAGGTCTCGTGCACACGACTGCCCAGGATAAAAAGCAGTGACCTCATAACATCCTGGGCCAGAGCAACCTGTGGTATTGGAGAGTCTCCAGCAGAGGTAGGGGGCAGCTGTGGCTCACTGTGGGGATAAAGACCCTGGGAGTGGTAGTTCTGGGGAGTACTCAGTGTCACGAGCCCTCCCGGAGGCCGCCATTTTCTCACGAAGACCTGGTCCCACCCAACAGCCTGTAGGGTCCAGTGCTCGGACACCTCAGGCCAAACAACCAACAGGGCAGGAACACAGCCCCACCCGTCAGCAGGCAGGCTGCTTAAAGTTTTCCTGAGCACATAGTTGCCCACTAAACAAATCCCTTACATGGCCCTGTCCACCAGAGGCACAAGACCAGCTCCACCCACCAGTGGGCAGGAACCAGTCCCTCCCACCAGGAAGCCTACACAAACCTGTTAGACCAGCCTCATCCACGAGGGGGCAGACAGCAGAAGCAAGAAGAACTACAACCCTGTAGCCTGTGGAATAGAAACCACAATCACAGAGAGTTAGGCAAAATGAGCCGCAGAGGAATATGTCCCAGATGAAGGAAGAAGATAAAACCCCAGAAGAACAACTAAGTGAA